TAATTACTGTGTTGTGAGCAAATCTGAACCAGCAGCATTGGAAGTTCTTATTAACTTTAGTCAAGATTTTGGACTTTGGTTTCTGGCCTAATCCTACAAAGAGTGAGTGTCAATTAATGCACATTACACAGGGTGTTTCGTGTTTGGTTTGGTTTTCCCAAGTGAGCAGCCACTTTCTTCCCAATCTTTTTTTCATTTCCTCTTTTAAGGGCAACTATCAGTCCCCTCTGCCTTTCCTTGAATGAAGGGGGAAAGCTTTCAGAGCAGAAATGGAAAATAAACATACCAATAGTATTTCCTCCTCCTTTCTCCCCCATAACTCTGAAATTGCCTTGACAGGAAAACAAACAAACCATGAGAATTATTGCATAAAAATCTAGGAGGTGTCAGTTCAGTTTGCTCAAATTATATTCTGCCTGACCTTTACCCATCATACTTTTCCTTCTCCCTGTATTAGCTGCATGAGGACCGTTGCTAAAGTATGAAATGAATCAAGGCGAGGCAGGGAAGGGATGCAAAATTGCTCCAAATGAGGGTTGAAGTTGGTTAAAATAAGAGCAGATGGATTTGTTTGGTTGGCTAACCTGCAGCCCTCCAAATGCTGTTGGACTCCATCTCCCATCAGCCCCAACCAGCATGGTCAATGGTCAGGGATGATGGGAGCTGAAATCCAACAACATTGTGGGGGAAAGGGACTAATCCTGGTTTAAGATCTTTTTAAATGTTGCCTGTTTTATGGACAGCCGCACTGGAAGCCTGGGGGATTGAGACCTTTTGAGAAAGCTATGATACTAGTAGTTGCTAGGCAACCACTAATATTCCCTCACCGCTTGTGTAAATGATAACAGCAGGTGAGTTTTGGATGGGGGAGGAAATTTGAAATTAGTGTCTCAGACCTCAGTGTTTCTGTGGGTAAAGCAAGCCAAATTCCCATCTAGACAAACACTCTGCCCTCACAGTAGGCAACTAACTGTCCATGGGAAGCCTGCAAGCAGACCTGAGCACCACAGCATTGTCCCCACTTGCATGTGCTAGAAGCTGATATTCAGAGGCATACTGCCTCTGATAGTGGAAACAGAACATAGCCATTTTAGCTAATAGCCACCATTAATTTGCCTAACCCTCTTTTAAAGCTACCCCTCCTTGCCAGGAAAGAGCTCCTGGCTTCATCCTCTGGCATCCAGGATAGCCACAAAAGACAAAATGCATTATCAACAAAGGGGATTTTTTTAAGGACCCTGATTAGCATAACATTTGCATGTGCTAAGCCATATGTACGGGTCCAAATTTAGGATTAACTACTGCGGTTTAAATAGGAATGCAATGCAACTCACTGTAGTGAAGAAGACCGTGACCAGGTGACATTCTGGGTGCCTGCCATCCAGATGCTAACCAAGTGCCGAGGGACAATTTCAAGTCTTACCCTCCTTATGGTTCTTTATCTTTACACCAGACTTGGAGAGGGCTTCACTTCAAACAGACATAGAGTACGCATTCAAGTGGAGGACTGTTCAAGGACAGTAGATGACTGCCCTTTGTAGGGCACATGGCGACCCTACTGGCATTTGCAAGTCAGGCTTGGGAAGTTCCCTGCCTGAAACCCTGGAGAGCTTTGTCAGTAGTTTTCAACTTTATCAGACCCAGGACCCCTTTTTAGACCCAACATGCATTTGAAAGACCCATTTCTCCTACTTCTTTTTGTGTGGATGTATTTGTATGGATGTAGTGCAGCTGTTGTGACCCACCTTAAGTCAGGTTGCAGTCCATTAGTGGGTCCCACCCCACCAGTTGAGGTGGTATAAACAATATGGAGCTAAATGGACCAAGAATAAGGTGTGAAGCCTATGGAGTGGCTTCCTGCGTTCTTATGCAATTAGCCCTTGATTGACCTTCAGTGGAGCAATGGTTCAAAGTGTCTGACTGTTAACCAGAAGGTTGGTGGTTCAAGCCCACCCAGCAACTGCTGTGGGCAGGATTCCTGCATTGTAGGGGGTTGGACTAGAGGACGCTGGTGGTTCCTTCCATCTCTACAGTTCTATGACTCTATGATTTATTCTTCTTTCAGAATCTTCACTGGCACACTTAAATGAGGGGATAACTACATTATAGTTGGCCAAGTAAATAAAGAGAAAAGATTAATGTGCAGGGAAATCGAAACTTATCAGGAAGTTATTAGGTAGTTTAAATATTATTTTTGTTGTCGTATGAAATCAACTGGATAAAATACCACTGTTGTCTAGCTCTGCCCTCTAAGGAATTGGGAAAGGAAAGGGCCCTATATTATTTTCTTATAGGTAGACTAAAGGAGAAAGAATTAAATCTTGACAAATTGGTTTTATTACTGGGAGGAGGTACATCTCAGCTCTGGTTGCCTTACATTATACTCACACTGGCAAAACTCAGAGATAGTACTGCAAAATTAATCATAGGGTATTTCAACCAGCTAATCATATCTTTAATGCATAAAACAATTAACTACTACTTTTCAGGGATCATATGAAGCATTAAATCTGACTTCACATTTCATTTCATTTCAGTTAACTAAGACTATTGTATGGGAAATACATACCCTCCAACATTTCTCCAATGAAAATAGGGACGTCCTAAGGAAAAGCGAGACATTCCGGGATCAAATCCGAAACTGGGACGGCTTCTCTAAATCAGGGATATCCCTGGAAAATAGGGACACTTTGAGGGTCTGGAAATATTTCTAGGCCTTCAGTACTTCTTGTAACTTATAAAAGGAAAATATCTTGCTTTTGGACCCTGAGGTGAATTGCTTTTTTGACCTAACAGCTGAGGGCAGGGCAAGACAAAGGTAGAGAGAGAGTGAGACAACAAAGCAGGTCCATCTTGCCTTGCTTTGCAGAAAGCAGGCAGGTGCTCCCATGAACTGACTGAACTACTTGCCAGTGGATGCTCAGCTAGCCCTGCCCATAATAAACTTCCACAAACAGGAAAATTAATTTCAATGAGACAGGCCTTTGGCCCATAAGCTAATTTTTAAGCATGTTGAAGTTGGTTTTAACCAGTTGGGGTGTTTGGTTTTGCTCACACCAATGGATGCCTTGGGTAGTGAAAAAGTGGGATCACACCCCTTCCTTTGAGCACTGGCCCAATCATTAGGCAGAGCGAGGTGCTTTCTCTTTTTAGATTTTTGCATAGCAGACATCATAAGAAGCAACTCTTGAATGTGAGAAAAAGCCTCTTTTAAGATGGTGCTTGCCATCTGCAGTTTCTATAAATACATGTACAATAATAATCCTCTTCCCCTTTTTTAAAGGGTTCTTTGTTAGTCAATTAGAAGCTGGTAAAACAATAAATCTGACCAATTAATCAATTTAAGTGCTGCAGCCCTTAAAAACAAACAACCAAACCCCTTATTTGGAAAAGTAACATGCTGGGGGGAATGCTCTTTTCCAGACATTTTGTCCATGCGGAGGAACATTCAATTGTGTGAGCCTCAATCTGAAGTAGTTTACAATCTTGTCTCCTGTCTCAAATAAGTAGATGCTGTTCTAGAATCAAGGACTCCCTTTTCTATTAAAACAAAAACATTTTTGTTAAATTAATTTTAGGCAGCCATTCAGGGTAAATCTTAACACAAGGTGGTTTACAGACCATGACTTGTGTGGTTGATTTCCCTGCCCGAGGTCCCTCATGACACCACTAATTCATAACATTTGTCTGCCTCAAGAGACAATGGAGTGTGCCTCTGGGGGTGAAGTCCAACCACTGCGTTTGCAGCACCAAAGTGATCTTCTCAGGTTGGGTGTTGTGCCTAGAGTTCCTGTACTGAGATCTCTCTATAGGAGCGAGGCAGAGTTCTGTGTGGGGTAGTGTAAGCCTCCCTTCCCCAACCAGGTGCCCCCCACATTTTTGGACTACAACTTCCATCTGTCCTAGACAGCACAGCTGTAGTCAAAAAATCTGGGGGTGGCTGGTTTAAGTAATATGTTACTGTGGAGTGATTTGCTATGTTTCTATGATTCTTCAGGTGAACTACCCTGAAGATGTGGTTGGAGGCAGCTTATAACTAATCTGTCACACATTGCTGTGGACCACAGGTAGTCTGAAATTGTCAGATTATCTCTCTGGCTTCATTACGTATTGAGGATGTGACATTCCTGTTTCCCATAAAAGCTATTGGATGCTTTTTGTATTTAATGTTGGTCCTTAAAAAAAATCAAATCTATGGCTTTTGTATCTACCTTTAAAAGGTGAGGGGCGATCTCATATTCACATTTGTGTTGATGAGTTTTTGGCTTCCTTTAGTCTGAGATCATTATCGTGAAGACGTTTCCAATTCAGCTTAACAGCATCGGCTAATTAAACCTGATTTGTCTAAGTGGTTGGGGTTTCATTACAAAGGTGAAGAAAACCTCATAAGAAAGTATTGATTTATTTTATGGTTGTAGTGAGAACTGTCTTTGGAACTGACCATATGATGACTGCTTAAAGTTATTTTAACAGCAATTCCGGTCCATTTCTTTGCCTCTTTGCACAGAAACAAGTTCTATATTGGTTGGGGCATTCTCCCCGGTTTGCAGCTCTGAAGTCCATTTTCTCTTATATTTCTTATTCTTTGGTTTATATCTTTGCTTGCTGTAAGATTGTTTGATAATAAAATGGTTTATTTTATGGCCTTCGAAAATGCTTTTCTGAAATGCATGCATTCTGTGCTTGGAAAAACAAAACCTGAAGCGGTAAGCATTCGAGCATAGTGAAATACATTTCACATAGCATAACATTCAATACTGAACATATAGTATCTTTGCAGTGATTTCAGCCATTTCTTGCACGGTGTTTACAGACTCTTTAAAGTAATAGCAATAATCCCTTGTGTGCAGTGCACAAGAACAGAAGCCACCCTTTAACCCCCATTTCTTCATTTCTGGGAAAAACAGAGCTGCCTTTCTGTTTATGGAATATTCTGTGTAGTTGCTGACTCTGGGGCATTAAGACTGCACTTTTGCTAGGAATCCTGGACAGAAACTGTCAGGTGGTACAGTGCCTCAGTCAGTATGTCTGGCTGTTAACCAGACGGATGGTGGTTCGAGCCCATGCAGGGATGGCTGTGGACAGGATTCCTGCATTGTAGGGGGGTGGACTAGATGAGTCTCAAGGTCCCTTCCACCTCTACAATTCTATGATTCTATTATTTTCCCAACCGTGCCTTGTCGCACTCAGGGTGCTTGTATTATTGAATATAGAATATTCAGGTAACATTTGCTTCAATATAAATCCATCATGATGGCGATTCTGCTTTTGAAGGTAGTGGCATCCTTAAGTATAATTGATACAGCTATAGGAATCAGAGTGATGTGATTCAGGTTTCTATTACTTCTATCGCTTTCCATGCTTTCTTTAAAAAAAAAAAATCCTACAAGCCTAGAATTCACTTCTGCAAGAGTTTAATACAGATGTGTTCATACACCATGGCAAACAGAGATAACATCATCATTATCATTATTATTATTATACCCCACCCATCTGACTGGGTTGCCCCAGCTACTCTGGAAGGCTTCCAACAAATATAAAAGCATAATAAAACATCAAGCATTAAAAACTTCCCTTTACAGGGCTGCCTTCAGTTGTCTTCTAAAAGTTGTATAGTTATTTATTTCCTTGAAATCTTCTAGACATAGAGTGCCATCTTAACGCACACAAACACAATTGATGGCTGGGGTGGTGGTGGTTAGGACAGGTTCTCTCCATTGGCCTCCAATGGGTGGGGGCAGGTAACTCTGCTTAGGCAGAAGCTCTATCTTTGCCCTAGCAGGAGGGAAGCTAGCAGTAGCCAGCTGAGAACTCCACAATGTGGTGCATTTTGGGGTAGATCACTGGAGGCGTGATCCTTGGGCTCCTCAGCTGTGCGGGTTTGGAGTTGGTGCAGCAAAAAAAACACCTGAGGCAAGTTCCTTCCTGGAAGAAATGAGTGGCAAGGCTTCGGATGCAGTGGTGCATCTGTCGCTCTGCTGCCTCCAAGCAAGCATTTGGATTGCTCTGCCCATGTATTGTTTCGTTCTTGCCTTCCTATTCTGTGCCAGTTTTCTTTTGAGAGGGAAGGAGCAAAAATTACTTTCAAAAGCCTGCGTGTGCAGGGTGGGGAACTTGGAGAAGTTCCAAGACTTTTTCTTTTTTTCCCTTTTTTCTTTTGCATTGATGGATTATGAAATGGGACTAAAGGTTACAAAAGGGATAGTTTAAAAAGCATTTCCCCCTGCAGGTTCTCGTATGCAGATGCCGTGTGACCTTTTCATTTCTGCTTTTTATTAGCCGCTGCTATTAATCTTGCACCTTTCCATGGACACATTGGCTTGTATGTGCACATTCGTGCCAAATATATATTCCAAAACCAAGTAGCTCTTCTTAGATACGCAAGTGTAATTCCCTGCACAGTGTGTTTCCCTGTGTTAATATAATTTTCACCTGAATTATTGATGACTGGAGGGGGGGGTGAGAGAGGAATGTGGCATGGAATTGCTCGCAGTGTCTCTGTATGGAGAAATGATCTCCAGAAAAGAATGGGTTCTATCTAGCTTTAGCAATTTCAGCTTAAATTTACTGAATGGCCAGCTAGTTAATACATGATATGGTTTAATTTTTACCCTTGTCTATAATTTCCTGGCTCTCTCATGAGTCCTTTTTTATAAATGGTGCTACTTTAACCAATTTCTTGTCCTGAGGTGCAGACACTGATCTTAAGAAGAAATTACATCTTTCTAATAAAAGATCCACTATTTCACATTTGAAACTCTCAGGTGGACACTGTCTGGACGCAGTGATTGGTTAATTTTTAGTTTGTCACTAAGACCTAGAACTTCATCTCTTATCAACACTAATTCAGATCCTTTTCTTGAAACAGTCAACTTTGCCTTACTGCTTCCTCACTGATGCAAAGAATTCATTCAGCTTCTCTGCAGTCTCTTTAATATACTTCTAATTCACTGGTTGGGCCACTTTCCTGCTTCTGGTGGTCTTAACGTTCTTATTCATACACTTCTTAGAATCATTAAAAAAAAATTGCTTAATGTCTGTTCTCTTACCAAAGTTTGCATTCTTGTACGGCATCCTTTGGGCAGGACTTCCATTTTCTTAAGGAAGCCTTCTTACCACTGATAACTGTCTTGGCTCTGCTCATTAACCATGCCAGTGTTGTCTTGGTCCTGGTGGTACCTTTCCTGAGCTAAACCCCATTGATCGTCCCATGTTGTGTTCCACATGAGACTTCTATAAGCATTTGCACTGTACCCAGAAATGCATTATATATATCTCTCTAATTTACTCCTTACATGCTTTAGCTTTGTAGCTTAACCATACTGCCTGTTCCCTGTGTCAAGGAAAATAAATGGCATCCAATCAGGGTTTGTGTTTGCACTGCAAGCTCTTGCAGGGATGGGAGTATAATGGTCTCTGATTTACAATTTCATTGTGTGTTCCCGTGAAAAGCACTTCAGCAATTTTTAGCCTCGTGTCTTCAGTTGGCTTAGAGAAAAATAGATTGTTAGGGAAGAGATTAAGGATGTTTGTTTAATGCAACATGATTTTGTAAGAGGAGATAATAATACTGAGTAGGCAAACATCTATTTCCTCATCTGTACTAGAATGTACAGATATAATCTGTATGAGGAAGGACCAGTAGCTCAGTACAGGGCTGGGATGGCGTGGATCTTTAGAGATTCTGGGCCACAGAGATGCTAGGTTGGTTTGAGGCTTCCTTACCTGGAAAAAACTGAGGAAAAAACTATAGAGCACTACCTGATGTCCTCCTTATTGTGTGTTCATGAACATTTGGGCTCATTATGCTTTTGGGGTAGTCATAAGTGATCCCACTTTCAAAATTATTTGCACTTGCAGAAGTTTTTGGGTGGTCATTCTGCTTCATTTCCTCTCACTGTATATCTTTAAAAAACCCAAAAACTTATTGCTAAAATCCTGTAACATTTCATGCCACAAATGTTGGGAGCAGGGTTATCCCACTTTTGTTTTGCTATAACCTCTCTGGACAGCAGTAGTGTGGTAGCACTGGGGAAGGACCACAGAACAAGTAGCAAAACAAAATAAATCCACCACCCAATGCAGTATTATTATAGTCAAGAACATGTTGCAGAATGTAAAACAGCCGTATGGAGGGTCTCATACTTTGTGCAGGAAGCGTCCTCTTCCTAAGACCCTGGAGAGCTGCTGCCAGTTCAAGTAGACAGTGCTGGGATGGATGATCAAATAGCCTGAGTTATTTTCCAGGCATATTCCTCTGCAGCTCCTAAAGTACAGTTTTAGGAACATAATTTGTGTGGCAGAAATAGGGGAGAAATTGCATTGTTTATCTGAGCATTGCCTCATATCCTTCACCAGCTAATGAGAATGGCTTGCGAACCCTAAGGTTCTTCTCTTTTTTTCCCTCAAAAGGGAGCAAATACAGTTGCATTTGGTCAAATTCACTGTCATAGTAGGTCCCATGCATATAGTAAAGATTTCTCCACTCAGTAGTAGGCACAAGCAGGTAAATGATGGTGTGGGCAGAAATTTTGCAATAGTGATTAGCTTTCCTCTTGTGCTTGTTGGCCATATGTAGAAAGGCAGTGGTGCTCTTTTAGAACAAAAAACACCAAAGCCCAATGTTGTCCTAGAAATGCTAGTTCTTAAATGCATATTAACGTGACTGCTGACTATAAATCATACCTATGCTAGTCACGTAATCGTAACTAAAAAAGCATTGTGAAGTTGATTGACTCATCACAGTGACTGACAAAGGATTTGTGTAGTGAATGACAGGGAAGTCACCACATGAATTATATACCTGGCAAGAGTTAAGAGATTTTAAAAATATTAAGCAGTTTATAAATGCTTTAAAATAAATGAAAGAAGGTTTGGGTTGGGTTAGTTGTTGTGTGGTGTTCCTTTTACATGTCATCTACATGCTACAGTCCCTGCAGTCTGGTGCTTTACTGTGATTTCATTGAGCCCAATATGTGTTTCATTCCCACTCCCTCATACCATGCCCTATAACTGTATATGTCCGGTTGGAATAGAAAATTGAATTAGGCAGGAAGGAAACGTTTCCTCCATAAAAAGAAAGGAAATCTGCACATTCTCTGGGGTGGGAAACTTATTTCATGGGCTGCACACCAGTTATGGACGGGGGCAGAGGCAACAAGTGTGCCTCTTACAGCAGTCTTATGTTCCAGACATGAGGTTCCTCTTTGCCAATACGTTATTTTTTTAATAAAGTTTTCCTTCCACCTGGTGGGAACTCTGCACATTCCCAGAGATTCAGGTGTCATAACTTTTAGAAACACAAAGGTGCTTATGCTAGTCAAATGGTAGGCTATTTGTACATTTCATTTATAGCTTATGCTTCTTGCCACATGGCAGTATAGTTGGGGTTCCCAGGCAGTCCCATTTGTGTAGTGACTGGATTTCCTGAGCTTCAGCAGGGTTGCTGAATCTTGTGACTTCAGACCGTAACCTGGAAACTTAAGTTCAGTTAAATAATAATAATTGTTGTTGTTTAGTCGTTTAGTCGTGTCCGACTCTTCGTGACCCCATGGACTAGAGCACGCCAGGCACTCCTGTCTTCCACTGTCTCCCGCAGTTTGGTCAGACTCATGTTTGTAGCTTCAAGAACACTGTCCAACCATCTCGTCCTCTGTCGTCCCCTTCTCCTTGTGCCCTCCATCTTTCCCAACATCAGGGTCTTTTCCAGGGAGTCTTCTCTTCTCATGAGGTGGCCAAAGTATTGGAGCCTCAGCTTCACGATCTGTCTTTCCAGTGAACACTCAGGGCTAATTTCCTTAAGAATGGATGCGTTTGATCTTCTTGCAGTCCATGGGACTCTCAAGAGTCTCCTCCAGCACCATAATTCAAAAGCATCAATTCTTCAGCGATCAGCCTTCTTGATGGTCCAGCTCTCACTTCCATACATCACTACTGGGAAAACCATGGCTTTAACTATACGGACCTTTGTTGGCAAGGTCAACAAAGGTCCGTATATTATTATATATATTAATAATCATCATCAATCAATCATCAATCAATCAATCAATCAATCAATAATAATAATAATGGGCA